TGCAAATTAGCCTGCAGTACCACTGCTCTACCCATATGCGCAGCAAAAAGACATTTTTAGACCAAATATTACAGATTTGAACAAATACACACAAAAATATCCAAATTAGCACAGAAACAGTACTATATAACATTTTAGACACATTCTAGACAGTTTATCAGCTAAAAAAGTTAATTTTGGGGTAAGTTACTCTTTAATGTCCACTGGTACATCTCAATGTGGCGACTCCAATCAGACAAATAGTGTGGGCAATCCCGCCGATCCGAGCTATCACCTTCTCCAAGATCAATTCCATCTGGCCAGCAAAGTCCAGAGACTGCATCCGGCCCRCGACCCTCAGCAGAACTGCTTGCAGACTAAGTCCCAGCTTGCACAAGGCAACAGTCTGAGTGCTGATAGCACGGCAATCCTTCATATTGGTCAGGCAGCCAGGAAATGGCCTGAATAGCCACTGATGCTGTTTTGCAGAACACCAGGAGACCACCAAGCCAATCTGTAGAATCCAGTGATCAGAATCCATATCCAGCTAGTTGAACACAGCAGGACAGAGGTCCCACATTTGACATGTCCTCCCATGGAAAAAAAAAATTGTTCCAACAATTTATTAAGAGACTAAATAACCAAATCCATAAAAATAAATCCAAAATTTTCGGTTTCGGATGAAAACGCAGAGGAGGCTTCTAGTAGCAAAGCAGGGAAAAATAAGGGAAGGCAGGAGAGAGGGAAAAGCATCTTACTCCTCCGAGTGCAGAAAAAATTGATATAAAATAGGTCTTCTTCAATAAAAGTTAAAGGTACTTTTAATTTCCTTTTACATTGTCCACTATAAGTTYGTTTTTCTTAATCATAGACCATGAGTCCCAGCCCATATGGGTTAAAACATATAAAAGTCTTTGAATAGATGTTCTAAGCATATGTTATATTTGGATGCACATGTGGAATAAGTTGTTTTAAAGGTCCCATTAGCAGCTAAATGAAACAATAAACAYGGCCTGGTATTTGTCCATCTGCCTCTCTTAGCTTGTGGTAGGCAGTTTTGGTGCTAACAGCTCTGACGGATCTTCTTAGAATCTGGCAAATCTCAAATTTCCAGCAGGTTTTGCTTCATTAGGAAAACCCAGTCCAGTCATTAGGCCAACAGTCACAGCTGGCTAAACATTATAGCGCAGGCAGCCAACTGGTCGGGCTATCAAATCATCACAACGTGATAAATTATGTTGTTGGGGAGCGAAAGGAAGTGTGTGTTGAGTGTGCGTTTGTTAACTTCCAGACCAGTCAATTGCTTAGTGAGCCACCTGCTCTTAGCATGTAAATTTAAACCTGAGGCTTATTGAATGAATACGCTGCAGATTTAAATGTAGTGTGTGGAGAAAACTTCAAGAGGCTTAAACCAGGGCTGCACATTATGAGAAAAATAA